GGGCCTCTGCTTTAACAAGGTCGCCCACCCAGCGCTCGGAGAGGGGCATATCGCGCTCTTCTCATCAGGTTATGGCGAGGGGCTCTACCGAACCTGGGTCGGACGCGACGTAGATGGCAACATCACGCGCGTCGTGACGGACTTCGAAGTGCTCGAGATGCGCTTCCCATCATTCAGTTTCTAGAGCGTGCTCGAGTTTGAATCATGCCTCTCCCCGGCGCGAATGAAGCGATCGAGGTGGGAGATGTGGAAATCTCTTGGCGATTTATCTCAATGTTTTTGAAAGAGGGCGCGTGGGCCTCGCTTTTTGACGCGCCCGGTGCTCGGGTAGTCGCGCTGTGCAACCCCTTTATCGGGTTGGATCATGTTTGCTTTTACCTGGCGAGGTGCTCTTGAGAGGTTCCCGTTTTCTGCTGCTCCCGTGTTTCTGCGTCCTGTGCCTTGTCTCCTGTGCTTCCCCTGAAACAAGCGTCAAACCTGAACCTGCGACGGCTCGGATAGAGGAGGCGCCGGTGGTGTTTCGCGAGCTCGTGCCAGGGGTGTGGTTGCACACGAGCGAGAAGGAGATCGCGCCGTGGGGGATGGTGCCGACCAATGGGCTCGTGATCGAGGACGGCGAGAGCTCGATCTTGGTCGACACCGCCTGGGATGATTCGCAGACCGCCTATATCTTGCGTTGGGCCAGAGAGACGCTCGGGAAGCCGGTCACGCGCGCAGTGTTCACGCACGCGCACGAGGATAAAATGGGCGGCGTCGCGGCTGTCCGAGAGAGCGGCGCGAAGACGTTTGCCGCCAGTGATTCCAACACGCTCGCTGCCGAGCGCGGCATGACTCCTGCGGAGACCGTTTTGGAGTTCGACGCGAGCGGTGTTTCCGTTCAACTCGCGCCGTTGGTGGTGTTCGATCCTGGCCCCGGACACACGGTCGATAACATCGTGGTCGGGTTACCAGAGGAGGGCGTGATTTTTGGCGGATGTCTGATTCGACCTGGAGAATCAGGGTCGCTCGGCAACGTGGCGGACGCGGATATCACCCATTGGGATCGGGCGGTCGAGCTTGTCTCGGGCCAGTTTCCCGACGCCAGGATCGTGATTCCTAGCCATGGTCCACCAGCGGGTCGAGAGCTGCTCGAGCACACGGTCGAGTTGGTCAGCGAGGCGCGGTGAGTCCTTGCCCTTGGAGGATCACTCGTCGTGCGTGATCAATCCCTTGGCCAGCGTATCCACCGCCATCTTGATAAAGGGCTCGAGGTCATCGCCAAACGGGTCGAGCCCGAGCGCTTCCTGAGCCATCGGCGCGACGTTGAAGAAGTTGTGCGAGGCGCCAAGCACGTAGAAGAGCAGCAGCTCGGGGCGGATCGCTTTATCCAGCGTGCCCTGTTGCTGCCCGAGCTTGAAGATGGAAATCACGGCCTCGTATTGATCGCGCAGGTGCGTGTCGATCAGCCATGTGAGTCGCGGGGATGGCGAGGTCGCCTCGTGATTGACGAGGCGAGAGACGTGGGGATGTTCCGCGCTAAAGCGCAGGAACTTCTCGAAGCTCGCCAGCAGCGCTTCGTGTGGTGGGAGGTCAGGATCGAGCGCTGTCACCACGCGAATCTCACCGAAGACGCGGTTCATCGCGGCTTTCCAGAGGTCTTCTTTCGAGCCAAAGTGATGGTAAACCAGCGGCTGCGCGACCTTTGCCGCGCGCGCGAGCTTGGTGGTCGAGGTGCCATCGTAGCCCACCGCCGAGAAGGATTCGATCGCGGCCTGGAGCAAGCGCTCCTTGCCATCCTGGTCGCTCGTGCTCTTGGCTTTCGATGACACCTTTGGAGTTCCTTTCGAGGTCAGGCGAAGACGTCCGTCAGGTATCTGCCCTGTTGGACGAGCGCTTCGAGTTTCTCGACCCCGCTCGAGTCATCCTCATCATCTGATCCCGAGAGGATGCGTGCCAGGGTTTCGTAGACTGCGGGCTCCATGTGGCGCCCATCACCGCAGACGTATACCACAGCGCCTTCATCGACAAGAGCACGAACCCTCTCTCTGGCACGCCAGACGGCGTGTTGGACGAAGCGATGTTCCTCGTCTGGTCCTTCAGAGAAGGCGGGGAAGACTTCGAGCAAACCGTGTTCGACCATCGGCTCCCACTCCTGATGATAGAGGAAGTCGACCTCGGGGTGGTCACACCCGAAGAAGAGCAGGGCGCGCCCCTCGCCGCGGTGCGCGAGCTCTTGCAGGAAGCCGCGAAACGGCGCGATCCCCGAGCCAGCGCCGATGAGAATCATCGGCGTCGCGTGATCCTCTGGCGGATAGAAAGGCTTTGTGGGTCGCTCGAGCAGCAAGGTGAGTTTGTCGCCAGGTTCGGTCTTTGCCAGGTAGTTCGACGCGATCCCCTTGTGGCGACCTTCCCCAGACCACGCTGGCGCGTCGAGCACAGACACGGTCAGGCTACACTGCGAGGAGGACTGCGTTGGCGAGGACGCGATCGAATAGCGCCTTCGACGCATGGCAGGCAGCATCTCGAGCGCGTTGGCGAATGAAACAGCGCTCGCAGGGAACCTCTCGAGGAGCTCGACCAGTGATAATCGCTTCGAGAAGACCTCGTCTTGATAGGCTCGCTCATCATTGGCCAGACGATCGAGCTCGGCCTGGTGCGGCGGACATGCGTTGTTTTTTGCCAACCTGGCGACATCCGAGCGCGTCGCTGGTGCGGCGAGTTCGACATGTCTTGCCAGCAACTCGCCGACAGAAATTGGCTGCTCGGTGGGCAGCGATGCATCCGCCATCGGCGCGCGAACCACCACCACATCATTTTGTTTCACGTGAAGCACGCGCGCCGCTCTGGCGACGAGCTCGGGTGGATTCTCTGGCAAAACCGAGACGTAGTCACCGACGTGGTAGCGGCTGTTTTCAGGGAGCGCGATCTCGAGGTGGCGCTTGGAGCGCGCGAACGGGGCGTTCATATCGACGGGGATTCGCGGTTTCAGGCGCGCCTTCGCTCTCGAGCAGAGATCGCCTGGAGAGCCACTCGTCCCATTGCCGGGCGCCGACTGGTTCGACCTGATAGAGCGCCTCATGATCGTCTTTCGCGTCCAGTGAGAATGCGTCATTGGCGGCATCCCAGAATTGCTCGGACCATTGCTCGATTGTGCCAAAGAAGTCACCAGCGGCGTCCGCTTCGCCTCTTGGTGTGATGCGCGTGGCGCCGCATCGCTCGAACTCTGAATCGAGGAGTTTCGGGATCGCCTGATAGGTCGAAGCCCAGTCGCGATGCCCGCAGCCGAGGACGGCAAATCGAGTGTTCTCGAACGCGCCCTCGGGCTGTTGTTTTAGCCACGAGACAAAGGTTCGCGCGTTGTCTGGCGGGTTGCCGTTGTAGGACGCCGAGACGAGGATGACGGCGCCCTGGTCCGGGAGTTCGCCTGTTTGGGCGTCGAGTGATTTTGCCGACGCGTCCCAACCCCGCGCTGCGCCCGTGGCGGCGAGCTTTCTGGCGACCGCTTCTGCCGATCCCGCGCTCGAGCCAAAAAGCACCAGCAGCGGCGTTTGATGGGCATCAGTGATTTCGGTTTCTTCACGCTTGTCCGCCTGGAGTGCGCCTGTCGAGGTGCTGGTGTTTCTTTGCACGACGTCGCGGCGTTTTTTGGCGCGCACGTAGAGATCGGCGGGTTTTGTCGTGAGCGCCTCTTTTTCGTGGAGTGTGTACGGGGCAGGGCGCTCGAGGTCAAAGCGTTGCACGAGCATCGAGAGCGCGAGCTTGGCCTCCTGCATGGCGAACTGCGAGGCAACATTCACAAGAGCATCAGAGCACCGATCAAGGGATCTTACCGACGCTCAGAGGTCAGGCTTCAGGTTTGTGCCAAACCCTGGGATCTCGGTGGATTTCAGGGAGCAGGAGCAAGAATTTGCTCCCTGCGGGGACCTCCCATTTGCCGGCGAGCGTGGTGTCCTCGATCGCTTCTACGCCGAAGGCGGGAGCGGTCGGAGAGAGGCGCAAGGACTCGCGCAGGACCTGTTCTGTGTAGGTCAGCTTGGCGACATCCGAGAAGATGGGGATGCGGTCTTCGAGGATCTCGTCGACCTCATCGCGAAGCCTCTTCATCGCGACGGGGTTATCGAGCAGGTAGTGCGTGGCATAAGAGAGGAGGCCGCTCGTGGTTTCATGGCCAGCGATGAGGAAGGTCACGAGCTGGTGTCGGATGTTCTCATCGCTGAGCTTTTCGCCGGTCACAGGATCAGCGCTCACGAGCATACGTTCGAGCAAATCTTGTGGTGTTTGTTCGCCGCGTGCGTGCATCGCCTTACGCTTTTGGACGACCTCTTCGGTGGTGCGTTGGATCACATCGAGCGCTTCGTCGAGGGCTCGCTGCCTGTGAACCAGCGCGCTGTTGAGGACAGCCGGGCGCTTGGTCCTCGCCGAGGATTCGATGAGGCTCTCGAGCATGGCGTCGACGAATTCGTGCTGCCCCTCCTGATAAAACGAGTTGAAGCGGAAGTTGAACGCGCAGAGCGCGAGCGTGTCGAGCGTCAGACGCGTCCATTGATCGGGTACGTCGTGAACCTCTTCAGGTCCGAAGCGCTCCCAACGCGTGAGCATTTGTTCGATGATGTCGAGCATCGGCTCGAAGTAGTCAGGGAGCGCCATGGTGCCAAAAGCGGGCATGAGCAGGCGGTGCGCCTTGGCCCAGTTTGGTTCGTGGTTGTAGGCGGTGAAGAGGCCATCGCCGCCGAGCATCCGAAGCTCCACCAGCGGCGCGCTCAACGCTTTTTGAAACCGCGTCGTATCAGAGAGTTCTTTTGCCAGCGCATGTGAACTCACGATGTGAATGCGATCGCTGGGCAACGTGAGGCGGAAGATCGGGCCGTGAGCACGCGCCAACCTGCGAAAGCTCGCGACGACGTGTCCGGTATCGACCTCGAGCATGCTCCCGAGGATGGGCAGAGTGATCGGGCTGGGCAGGGTGTCGAGTGTGTAGAGCATGGCGTTCCTCACGATTGATTTCTTCACTTATAGTCTTATAAGTGTGTCTGCTTATAAAGCTATAAGTGCTCGCGATGACGTGTCAACACTCGCGTGTTTGTTTTGTCGCGTGTGGTGTCTCGTGCGAGGAGGTGTGCAGCCGTGAACCAGCGGCGGTGGCCCGCGACCCGAGGGGCCGCGACATTTGCCGGGGGTGGTCGAACGCGCACCCCGCGGGGGCAAATGTCGCGGCAGCCCCTAAGGTCGCTCGACGGCAGCGCCAACACTTCGCGCAAAGGAATGCGGCGAGGCTGATTTTTAATCAGCGCCTCGCCGCATCCTTCAAAATTATGTCTTTGTTAAAGCTCTCAGGCGGCCTCGGTGCCGAGTTGTCGTTTTTCGACCGCTTCGAGCTGTGCGGGGGTGCCTTCCATCAGGAGTTTTCTACCAAAACCATCCGCGTCGGCGCCGACGATAAGTCGGGTGCTGCGGCGGAAGGCGATATAGGAGTACGTCCAGTTGATCAGGACGCTGACCTTGTTTCGAAAGCCGACCAGGAAGATCAGGTGAATGAACAGCCAGGCGAGCCAGGCGATAAAGCCCTTCATCTTGAAGTTGCCGACTTCGGCGACGGCGGAGGCGCGACCGATGGTGGCCATGGTGCCCTTGTCCAGGTAGGAGAAGGCTTCGCGCTTTTTGCCTGCGATGTGCGCCTTGATGTTCTTGGCGACATGCTTGCCCTGTTGTGATGCCACAGGCGCGAGACCTGGCAGGACGCCGTTATCATCGTGATCGAAGTGCGCGATATCACCGATCGCGTAGACCCTGGGATCATCGGGGAGCGTGAGGTCGGCTTCGATGATGACGCGGCCCGCGCGGTCCTGCTCGGTGTCGAGCGTATCCGCGAGGCCCTCGGCTTTCATGCCCGCTGCCCAGACGATGTTGTGCGAGAAGATCAGCTCGCCCTTGGCGGTGACGCCTTCCTCGGTGATGTCCTCGACGAAGGTCTCGAGCATGACCTCGACGCCGCGTGATTCGAGCTGCTTCTTGGCGTTCTTGCTGGATGCTTCGCTGAAGGCGCCGAGCAAGCGATCCTGCCCCTCGATGAGGATGATGCGGGTGTTGTCAGTCTTGATGTTGCGAAAGTCCGAGGCCATCACTTCCTTGGCGATCTCGGCGATGGCGCCCGCCATTTCGACGCCCGTGGGGCCACCGCCGACGACGACAAAGGTGAGGAGCTTTTGAAGCTCTACAGGATCGGTCTCGTACTCGGCGGCTTCGAATGACATCAGCATGGTCTTGCGGATGTCGAGCGCCTCGTCCACGCTTTTCAGGCCGATGGCGTGCTCGCTCCAGGTATCATTGCCAAAGAAGTTATTCTTCATCCCTGCGGCGAGGACGAGGAAATCGTAGTCCACCTCGCCGTCCTTGAGATAGACGCGACGCTTTTCACGATCGATGCGCTCGACTTCTCCGAGCAGGACGCGCGTATTCTTGTTGCGATGGAGGACAGCGCGGATCGGCGCGGCGATATCTGCGGGGCTCAGGCCAGCGGTCGCGACCTGGTAGAGCAGGGGTTGAAAGAGGTGATAATTGTGGCGATCGATCAAGACCACTTCGACGTCGGCCTTGCGCAGGTTCATGGCGACAGCGAGGCCGCCAAAGCCTCCACCGATGATCACGACGCGCGGTTTTCGGTTCGAATGTGCGTTGGTCATTGGGGCGCCTCCTTCCTGTATTGAAAGCCAGGTCGCTCGACAGCACACTGTATGTGCGCGCGAAGGCCTGGATGAGAGGGCTGAATCGTGATTCAGTCCTCTTCGGGTCTCAACCTATTCACGCCCGGTGGTCTGGAAAGTGTAAGTCTGACACTTTCAGAGGCCGCAGCCACTTCCGAAACGAGCGAGTCATCGATGGAGCCTGTTCAGCACCAGAAAACAGCATCTCGCGATCTCAGGCAAACGCCATTTCTCGCGGTCCACCTTTTTCTCACTCGCGGCGAGGAGATCCTGTGGTTGCTTCGTGAAGGGACAGGTTGGTTGGATGGTCATTACAGCGTCGTCGCTGGCCATGTCGATGCCAGAGAGTCGGCCAGCGCCGCGATGATTCGTGAGGCGAGAGAGGAGGTCGGGATCACGCTCTCGCCGCATGATCTCGAGCATGTGGTGACGGTGCATCGTAACTCGGATACGGAGCGTATCGACCTCTTCTTTCTGGCGCGCGATTTCGAGGGGGAGGTTCGGAACATGGAGCCCGAGAAGTGCGGGGAGCTCGTGTGGGCCTCTTTCGATCACGCGCCGCAGCCACGCGTTCCTTACGTGGAGGCTGCATTCAGGGCATGGCGTGGCGGGATAGCCTATGTCGAGTTTGGCTGGGAGGAACAATCCCACACGCCGCATGTCTCATAAGAGGAGAGACCGAGACCAGCATCAACGCGATCTGCGAGAGGGTGAGGACCATGGACATGAGTAAGGCGACAATCACAGCAGCGGGGTTGCTTCTGGTGTCATGTCTCGGGTGTACAGGCAGTGAGGCGAACAAACAGGAACCTGTTCTCACGACACACGAAACCCCCTCGATGATCTCCAATAACGATCGGTTGGAAGATCGTTTTCGAAGTACGCCCTGGCAGGCCATTTATCGAGAACTCGACAGGATCGATGATCCCTCCGAGCTCGCGAGCGCTTACGGAGAGTTGGAGGGTTCGCTCAGGTTGCACGGTCAAACGGAGCTCGCGGATGCGCTGGCTTCGAAGCATCGCGAGCTTCGCGCCGCAGAGGATGGGTCAGGCGAAAAACTCGAGCATATTCGAGGCACGCAGCGCGCGCTTTACCAGGTCTCGTGGCAGCGGCGAGAGCAGGAACACTTCGACAGTTGCTCGCCGCTGCAACAGACCTGTTTGTCGGCGTCGAGTGTTCCTCGCGAGGTTGGCAGCGCGCTGCTTTCGAAGGTCGAGGGGAGCGCGAGCGCGTATCAGCGCGCCCTGTTATCGAAGCGCTATCGTTATGCGAGATGGGCGATGTTCGAGGGCCTCCTCGGTGTGACCTCGGCGTTGGAGGCGCGCGCTGATCGCGTCGGTGGTTTGCTCGACGCGATCACGATCGCGCAGCGCCAGAAGAGACTGCACGATGTCGAGCTCCTTCTTCCATGGGTCCAGGCGCAGATCCTCGGAGAGAAGGACGCTCGCGCTCGCGCCAAGCTCTGGCAGCAATACACCTCCAGGATGTTCGCGTTGAGCCGCCGTGATGACGCGCGCTTTGGCTTGTACTATCTGGATAGGATCGATTTCCCTGTCGAGGACGCAGCCCGCGTTCTCGATTTCGCGCTCTTTTCGTGCGAGTCGCATCAGAGGCTCGGGCAACGTGCGTTCGCAAGGGCTGCCTGCCGCAAGGCGTATCGCAGTTTCTTGGAGTCACGTGTCTATGACGAGCACGAGGCGAGTCTCTTCGAGCTGTCATTGGAGCTCGGGATGCATCGCCAGACGTGGGAGCTCGCGAACCTGCATCCTGACATCCTGAGGTCGAGCAAGCGCGTCGAGTTGTTGGTCCGAGCGCATCTCGATGAACTCCCCGAAGATATCGCCCGTGAGGTGAGTGATTTCCACGTCTCCAGGGAACTCGCATTGATCAGTTCGCTGGCAGAACTGCGCGCGGAGGTCGCCAGAGAGGGCAAAATCTCTGGGCGTACAAAGGAGGCGTTCGCTGCTTCTCGCCGCGAGGTTCGAGCTTACCTGGACGACTTCGAGATTTACGAGGCGATGGAGCTGCGGTTCGAGCTGGCTCGAACCCGCGCAGTGTTCAAGGAGGGGAAGATGCCGACGCTGGCTTACGACCTGCTCGAGCCATTGCGCGAGAATGACATGGCCGAGCGCGCGCGTGGAGGCATGATGCAGCTCGCCAGTGCTTTCGCTGCGGCAGGCCAGGAGAAGGAAGCGCTCTTTGTGTTGGGCGAGGCGCTCGACACCATTCCTTTGCGCGAACCTTCCAAGACTTCAGACTTTGCCGAGACGTGGGAGTCGCTCGACATCGAATCCACCGTCGACGCGATCATGAAGATGGAGCGCCGCGCGTTGTTCCTCCCGATGTTGTTTGCGTCCACTCCACCCGCGGCAAAGAAGCGTTTGCTCGAGCTTATCACTGAATCCGGCACGACCTGGACCGAGGAGGAACAGGCCGCGATCGAGACACTCATGAAAACGCTCGCGAGCTCACCTCATGGTTCTCAACACGTCCTGGGCTGGATGATGGTCGTGGCGAAGTCTTGTAAGACCTCGCCATGTCTGGATGTGCTCGAACAACAGGCGGTGGGAGGTGCGAACGACAGGCAGTTTGGCGACGCGATGAAGCTGTTGATGGATGCTCGCATCGAGCGTGGCGAGGTCGCGCAGGCCTGGGACGTGGTCACGCGCATTCCGCTTCCTGCGCGCAGGCTCCAGAGCGGGATGATCTTGCTCCGTTCGATGAACCAGGTGGGTTTGATCACGCCCCGCCCCAGGATCGACGCCTACCGTAGCTGGCTTGACGCGAGCATCGACTCTACCTGGGGAGCCAGTGAGCCGCTGGTTACGGGGTTGCTCTTGCGCGGCGAGTGCGAGGAGGCGCTCGACATCCTCGCCGCATACGAGCGCATCGAGGGAGATGGCGAGGTCTTCGAGCGAGCCGTGGTGACCTGCTACGACAGGGCTCCAGCGGTAAAAGTGAACGACGTGATCGCGCATATGGATTCGGCGCGCAAACGCGTTCACTACAAGCTCATGGTGCTCGAAGGTGGTGAGGTCAGAACTCCTTGAGAAGTCTCATCCTGGACTTACATTCGTCGCGCTGTTCAAATGTGCTGGATGGGGGGCCACATCAGGCTCCGAGACCGTTCAACGAATTGGAGGTGATGGATGTCAGGAAACAAGTGGGCTCAGGGTTGGATCTTGGTCGCGATGCTCGTGCTCTTACCCTCGAGCGCGAGCGCGCTGGAGACCATGGAGCAGCTGACTTCGAAGGGGCGGGCGAACATTGGTTTTAACACGT